TCTGTTCATTGTCTCCTGCAGCCTGCCTTCCACAAAGGGTGAGGGGTTGCTCCAGGTGCTGGGCCTGCTGAGGAGAAGGGTTTCCATCTCAGCCGGGTGGGGACCAGTCCATAGCTCAATGTGAATCTCTGTTTTCCACACCCTCTGTTCATTGTCTCCTGCAGCCTGCCTTCCACAAAGGGTGAGGGGTTGTTACAGGTGCTGGGCCTGCTGAGGAGAAGGGTTTCCATCTCAGCCAGGTGGGGACCAGTCCATAGCTCAATGTGAATCTCTGTTTTCCACACTCTCTGCAGGCTGCTGTGAGCACTTGAACATATTTTACTGGCAGAGAATGTTGCTTAGGTCTGTCCTGCCCCAGCTTTCATTCACTGTGGATGCCCTGAAGTGTGTGCAGAGATAGGAAGGACCTGCCTGCCTGAACTTAGCCGCCTCTAGCCCCTCTCTCCTGGGGATGAGAACAGCTCCCATGCGGCCTCTGAAATTGAGCCTTTCTCCAGAGAAGGGTTAAGCAGGAAGGAGCAGAGGAGACAATGAGTTGGGGGGGCAAAGAAGTGGGAGTATGGACCAGGGAATCTCCCAGAGGAGGCCAGGCTGATGGGACCGAGGTGATGAGGGAGGGATAAGAGCCCAGGAAAGCACAGATGCTCAAAGGTGGGAGCATGCCTAAGAGGTTGCGAGGGCTGGTGCTTAGAAGTACAGTGCTTACCCAGAATGCCTGGGGACCTGGGTTCTACCCTCAGCACTGCAAAATATGCACATGTGCGCACACACTACTTATCTATGTATCTATCTATGCATGCATGCATGTATCCATCCATCCATCCATCCACGCATCTATCATCATCATCTGTCTGTCTACCATCTATCTATCTTAGAGAGAAAGACAGGGAGAAATAGAATGTTCTAGAAGTTCTAGAAACATGATGGGAACAAATGATGGCGGGGGACCCCTGGAAAAATGAAGCCTTAGGGACAGATCCTGGAGCTTGCAGCTTACAGTAAGAATTGTCCACAAACTTCAGCTGGCTGCACCCCAAGTTCACATGAGGCCGTGAGTCTGGCTTGAAAAGTATAAATTAAAAAAAAGCTTGAGCAATGGAGTTAAGGTTGTGGACTGGCCTGCCTCTGCACAAAGGAGAATGAGACCCAATCCGTCATGTCCCTGCCTCTCCTGCAGTCAAGACAGCCGGATTCAAGCAAATAGTGCGTCGTGAGGGCAAATTGGCTTGAGTGGCTTGTGGCTCTTCCAAGGATGGGATGTTTGGAGGTCCCCACTCGGGTTTCCATCCCTGCCCTTTCTGCTGCATCTCTGGAGCAGATTTCTCTGGGTCACGGCGTTCTTTTCCTCTTGCCCACAGCTCAGCGCTCTGCCCACGAGCTGCCCATGGTGGAGAGACAAGATGTGGACAGCTGCCTGGTGTACGGGGGCCAGCAGATGATCCTCACGGGCCAGAACTTCACGGCTGAGTCCAAGGTTGTGTTCATGGAGAAGACCCCAGGTCAGTCGCTCCCTCGCTTTCTCCTGCTTCTCTGAGCCAGACAGAAGCGAGACTCACACTACACTCAGCCTATTGGGTAGCTTCCTGTTCTTCTGGCTGCCTCTCCAGTGACCCACAGCCACACAGGTCACCATTGATGTGGGGTGACATGCTTGAATTGGTCCTTGGCTGTTTCCGTGGAGACTAAACTTGTCCCCTCTCATCAACCTTGTTTCTGTTTTGATATATTTTTCTCATATAGGCAAACATTTAAAAAAGACCTTTTCCTATTTCTGAGAGGTGATGTTTTGCTGCTCTTAAGCAGGCTCTGGGTGTCTAGGTCATTGTGCAGTGGGCACTTTGACACTGGGGTTTGTTGCATAGGAGAAACATGGGGAAAATGGGAAGAGGCTGAGCTGGAATGTGGGTGCCCTTTTGGAAATCTGAGTGTTGGGTTTGATGAACTCTGGACCTCCTTAGACAAACCAGGTCTCATCTATCGAAGGCAAGGTGTCTAGGAGCAGACAGCCATGGGGCCTAGATGGAGTGGCAGAGCCTCCCTCACTAAGGGTAGCGTTGAGGTCTCTGTTACAATCTTGTGATTAAATGACTCGTGGGATAGCCTCCAGCGGGGACATGGAGAGCAGCAAACAGATGTGGGAAGCCCCATTGCTGTCACAGCAGCAGGAGGGGACAGCAGAGCAAATTCTGTGAAAAGCCTGAGGTCTGAACAATGGGTGTGCATCTGAGGTAGGAAGCAAAAGTAAAAAAAGTGACCACATAGCCTGCCCCCAGGTGGGAGGGGCTTATGGTCATGTCCTTTTCCAGATACCATTGCTGGATAAGCATGGTGAATGGAGCATGTTCCCATTACCCCCGACTCCCCCACCTGGTGCTCCGAGCTCTGCCTTAGTCCTGATGACTGGAATGCCTGCACACATTGCCCAGTTTGTTCTGGTGAGGGCAGAATTGACCCTGGGGGCAAATCAGAATTGACCCTGGGGGCTTAGATTACGCTGGGGAGGTAGGAAAAGAAGAGAAGTGAGTGTTAGGGATTCTCCAACCTGGACAAACAAACCCATGTGGCCTGCTGCAATGCTCTTACAGACCAGGGGCGGGCGTGTTAGGGATTCTCCAACCTGGACAAACAAACCCATGTGGCCTGCTGCAGTGCTCTTACAGACCAGGGGCGGGCGGGAGGCAGGGCTGACCCACAGGACTCTGCTGGTCTCTCCACTTACACAGACACATTTTCGAGTCCCTATTTTCATTCATGTTTTTTGTTGCGTGAATGTGTGTCCCCATGCTTCCTGGTCTCTCTGAGCCTGGCTACAAACAGATGGGGTACATCCCACCGTAGGGTCTCATAGTGTGTTATCAGCCCATTTCCTTTTTATTGAGACTGTGTAACCCAGGTAGAGACATGGTTCTATTTGGTCTGGGTCCAAGGGTTAGTTACTTTTCTCTTTGCAGTGATGGCTACCTTAACAAAACAACTGAAGGAAGGGTTTGCTTTGGCTCATAGTTCAAGGGTCCAGCCCATCACAAGCAACTGGTCACTCTGCATCTGCAATCAGGAGATGGAGAGTCCTGAGGCTGGTGTTCAGCCCCGTTCTTTTCTTGATTTGGTCGGGCAGTTAGGGTGGGTCTCCTATCCCATTTAACCTCGTCTAGACCACCCCTCACAGACACAGCTAGATACTTGCCTCTTAGCTGATTCTAGCTCTTGTCAAGCTGACAATATTAACCATCGCAGCATGGTGAGGTGCTAGGCCGCCTCAGTGGATGTGAGTAAGGGGAACTGTAACAGCGCGTTCTCCAGGTTGGATACATCTCCAGCATCAGGATGCTATTCTCGGGCCTGTTGTGAATACTGACAAGACAGATGTGGCTTTAAAGCACCATGAGGAGAGAAAGCTAATAAGATACAAATGTAGGTGACAGACCTTCTGTGGTGACAGGTACTTCTAAGAAAAGACTGGACAATGGTACCTACTAAGTCCCTCTTGCTGGGGCTGCCAGCGAGTTCCAGGTGTCGGGTCAATAGCTTTGATGAGCGGCTTCCTGAATGACCACCATGAGGAGAGAAAGCTAATAAGATACAAATGTAGGTGACAGACCTTTTGTGGTAACAGGAACTAATAAGAAAAGACTGGACAATGGTACCTACTGAGTCCCTCTTGCTGGGGCTGCCAGCGAGTTCCAGGTGTCAGGTCAATAGCTTTGATGAGCGGCTTCCTGAATGAGTGAGGGAGTGCTGTCACTGGCTGTCACTGGACTTTCTGTGGACCACCAGCTCCCAAATAATAACACAGAGACTACTTACTAATTATGAAAGCTTGGCCTTAGCTGGGGCTTGTTCCCAACTAGCTCTTATAAGTTAAACTAACCCACTTGTACTAATCTGTGTTCTGCTACGTGGCTTGGTTACCTCTCCTCCATACTGCAATCCCGTTTCCTCCGTGTCTGCCTGGCAAATCTCTCACCTCTCAGATTCTTCCCCCAAGTTCCTCTTTCTTACTGGAAGTCCCGCCTATCCTCTCCTGCCTAGCTATTGGCCATTCAGCTCTTTATTAAACCAATCAGAAGGCGCCTTGGCAGATGAAGTAAACAGAGACACGTCTTCATAGTGTATAAAAGTATTATCTGACAACAGTTGGCTGCTATGCAGCCCTCTCGGTTTCCAGAGCCAGCCACACTATGAAAAGTCAAGGTGAGCCAGTGGGAACAATCATGACGGCACATTTCCCATCTAACTCAGTGTGCTGAGTTATTATTATGCCATTATTATTAAGCAGACAGTCAAGGTCAAGACCGTCACCCGTAACGGTATGTAGCCTCAGGCTGTGGCTTGGCTTCCCTCCGTAAACTGGCACATCAGTCCCTTCCCTGGAGTAGGGGGTCATGTGGAAGTCATGTGCCTGCCCTGAGATCACAGCTTGTGGTCTTTGAACTCCTGCGGTTGTCTTTGTGGCCCTCCAGAGCTCTGGCCACATGCCTTGTGTGAGGCACATGTCTGTGTGTGGGTTTGAGTTAGACAAGCTTAGGAGAGGGGGGTGGGGCTGGTAGCTGCATGGTCCCAAGCCCAGGCTTTGAGGTCAGATTGTGTGATGGTTAGTTCTTAGTGCCACCTTGTCACAACATAGAATCACCTAGGAAGAGGGTTTGTGTTTGTTTGTTTGGTTTGGTCTTTCAAGACAGGGTTTCACTCTGTAGCCCTGGCTGTCCTAGAACTTACTCTGCAGACCAGGCTGTCCTTGAACTCAGAGATCTCCCTGCCTCTGCCTCCTGATTGCTGGGATTAAAGGCGTGTGCCACCACACAGGTGGGAAGAGAGTTTTAGTGAGGAATTATCTAGATCAGGTTTACTGATATGTCTGTGGAATGTCATCCTAACTTGGCAGCGGGGGGGGGGGGTAGCCATTATGGGCAGCACCATCCCTTAGGCACAGGAGTGAAAAAAAGCTGGCTGCACATAAGGAACAAACAGGCAACTGACTGCACTGCTCCTCTGCTCTTGATTATGGATGCTGGGTGACCAGCTGTCTCAGGCTCCTGCCTCTGTGACCTCTATGAAATGACAGGCTCTGACCCATAATTCTTTCTGAGTTGCTTTTTATCAGAGTATTTTTCACAACAGCAGAAATGAAAGCATCCAGAGCTTGGTTGCCGTCCCACCCTGAGTAGACTACTGGACCTCTTTGAGAAAGGATTTCTTTTGGTCAAATGCAAGTGATTCACCATTCTGTGGAGTTGAGAAGATAGGAGGCAAGCACACAGGCTGGGATCTGCACATAGACAAGGCTGAGCCCATTGAGAATGTTCAAGAAGCATGAGCTGGGTGACCAGCTATCTCAGGCTCCTGCCTCTGTGATATCCATGAAATGACAGGTTCTGACCCATGATCGGAAGCCAAATAAACCATTCTTTCCTTTTGTTATTAAACATTGCAAAGGAAGAATAAAGACAAGAGTTCACCCAAAGAGCTAGGAGACATTAAAAAGCAACAGTCACTAGTCTTGAGCCAAGTTCTGATCTAAGCATTTGCCCAGGCTAGCCAATCTGATTCCAATGATAGCCCTCCAAATGAGCTACTCTTCTCCAAGTTCTATAGTGAAACTAAGCACAGAGACCATTAGATGAAGGTCACACAGCTGGTTCCTGGTAGTGATGAGACTTATGTTCAGGCAGTGTGGCTCCAGGGTCTATAAAAGCTCAGACTTGGGGTGATTTGTCTGAGATCCTTTGTCTCCCAAAGCATGGACTTGAACCAGGTTGTAGCAATGGAGAGCCCTGAGTTCTGCAGAGTTGTTGGTACAATAGCATTGCCGAGTCTTCCATACCAACACCAAGATCTCAGGGACCAGTGAGGCTTTCTGAGGCACCCTGAGTATCCCCTAAGAAGTGGGTTTCCCTGAGAGGGCTGTGTGGCTCCTGTCATCCCTAGCAGGGGGACCTTGATAATTTGCAAGGTGCAGAGCTTGCTCTTTTGACCCCGAGGGTTCACCGCCTGCAAGGGAGATCCATGTAACTAAAGTTGGTTTTTCCAAAACCGGTCCTGTGTCCATCTCCATGGACACTTGGCCAGTAGGCACAGCATGCAGGGTGGGGCGGCTGAAGTTTTCCAAGGCAGGGGAATCCCAGCTGCTGTTCTCATTAGAAAAGGTGACAGCTTCGGGCTAATCTTAGCAGCAGGGTTTGGTCATCGGCACCGGGAACCTCAGCATGCTTTTTATAGCTGTCCGCTAAAACAGGCTTGGCACTTTCCACCCCATCAGGAGGACAAGCTGAGGAGGTGGAAAAAGAGTGAGGAGAGGGGCCCCAGGGTGCTTGGGTTAGGAGAGCCCCATGTTTTGGAAAGTGTGGTCCTATTTATAGCGGCAGTCATAATAAGGATTATTATGAGTTTCGTACTATTTTTAATTCTTCATAGGACTTGCAGGGACCCGTGAGACTGCATCTGCCCATTCCTCCGATCTCAGCTGATCATCTCTCCCCCTGGTTTTCCTGGCTGCAAAGAA